AGTCGATATAGCAACACTCCCTTGCAAGTCAGGCTATTTGTCAGTCGAGGTAGCAGCACTCCCTTGCGAGGCAGGCTATTTGTCAGTCGATGTAGCAACACTCCCTTGTAGCAGCAGGCTATAAGATAGTCGATGTAGTAACACTTACGCATGTTTTAAAAATGTTTTTTTATAAAAACACCACTGATTAAAAAAAAATTTCGAGTCATTATTATTGCGGTTTTTTTAAAAAACAATAAAATTTAATGTACTTCCGCATTAATTTAATTGCTTTGACATTTCGATGACAATCAAATACAGCTTAAGAGACGAGGTAATAAAGATTGTAGTCGAAAGAAACTTTTTTTTACCATTAAAGTCTCTTTTGACTACACTATAAGGATATATATATATATATATATATATATATATATATATATATATATATATATATATATATATATATATATATATATATATATATTATATATATATACTCATATAGTGTTGCTTTAAGAGCATTTTAATGTAAAAAAAGTCTCTTACGACTACAATTTTAATTACCTCGTCTCTTAAGCTGTTTTTGATTGTCATCGAAATGTCAAAGCAATTAATTTATGCGGAAGTACATTAAATTTAATTGTTTTTTAAAAAATTTTTAAAAAACCGCAATTATAACGACTAGAAAGTTTTTTTTAATTAGTGGTGTTTTTGTTATTGATTTAATAAAAAACATTTTTTAAACATGCGTAAATGTTGCTACATCGACTATCTTATAGCCTGACTCGCAACGGAGTGCTGCTACATCGACTGACAGATAGCCTGACTCGCAACGGAGTGCTGCTACATCGACTGACAAATAGCCTGACTCGCAACGGAGTGCTGCTACATCGACTGACAAATAGCCTGACTCGCAAGGGAGTGCTGCTACAACGACTGACAAATAGCCTGACTCGCAAGAGAGTGCTGCTACATCGACTGAGGGTTTGGTTTGGCCAGGCAGTCTATCAATTAAAAAAAAAAATTTAATTATTAAAACTTTTTCTGGTCTGGTTTATTAACGCGCTCTTTAAAACTACAGTTTATGGAAAATATTTTTTGATGCTACGCAAGAGACATGCAAGACTATATATATATATATATATATATACATATATATATATATATATATATATATATATATATATATATATTATATATATATATATATATATATATATATATATATATATATATATATATATATATATATATATATATATATATATATATATATATATATACCTCTAGACTCATTGATAGCCCGGCATAATACAAGAATTACAGTTGTAGGCAGGCCATCAAATGTATAGAAAAAAAAGAGTACAACAGTTAATAGCTGAGCCATTACACTTTGTCTTCTTTCTTTAGATTTTTTGCGTTATTAGTCTTTTACGACTTTAGCTGTATGTTTTAGATCCTTGTTGGAGAAGTAATCCTTTACCAAAATGTTCTGTTTTACAATTCAAAACATCTTCTTCCAAATTATGTAAATAGACTTTTTTTGTCATTTTTTTCGCTGATATTTAAAAGTTTTTTGACTTGGCAACCTCCGAAACAACCCCAGACCATAATGCTGTCACCCCCGTTTTTTTAGTTGCATTATGAAAACATCCAGCATTCTTTCTCTAGGTTAAACGACAAATAAAGTACAGACGTTCTTAACCGAAAAATTCAAAAATTGTTTCATCCGACCAAATAACATTACTCAAGTCATTTGGTGCCCAGTTTTATTGTTCTTTGGCCTACTTCAATCGTTTCTATTTTTGAACTTTGGTCAAACGTGGTTTTTTTCTCGCAACACATCCTCTATAGAGGATGTGTTGTGAGACAAAAAATGTGTTTAGACTGAGAGCAAGCCCGAAGCAGTTTTGACTGAAAACAATCCCGAAGAAGTTTAGACTGAGAAGCAATAAGGTACAAATAGGAAAGGTACAATAAGGAAAAAGCTAAATGGATTACAATATATAGATGCAACTTTGCTAAATGACGAGTCAAGTGAGATTGAGTTTTGGTTAATAAACTAAAAATGATAACTTCGTTTGATCAGCAACCACGATAGTTTTTGTAAAAAAGGGAAAGAGATGCAACCTTACGACAATAACTTGGGAGATAAAAAATGATAAAAATAAAAGAGCATCATTATAAGAACTAGCAAAAATTTAACAATAGCATTGCAGGGACAAATAAGAAATTTTTATTAACTGCAATTTATACTTTTTGCTTGGTTTTACATTAAAAATAAATTTTTAAAAATATTTTTGTTATTCAAGCAAAAACTAAAAAGTGTACCTCGTCTGAAAACTGATACCCAGACAATTTTATTATTATTTGATTAACTAAATTACTTGCATAAAGTATTTCAAACAAATTTCATAAAATCTCACTTGCGTTACTAAGTTTCTAAAAATTACTATGTGACAGTTAAAAAAATTTTTAAATTTTGAAAACCAATATGGGCTCACTCTAACAACCTGTCTGGTGACAAAGGACATCTCCTATGAAACAGTTTTTACTATTATTTACGCCCAATAAACTGTGAAAATTAAGTTAATCTTTTACATAATGCAAAGACCTTATGATTACATCTATGTTTTATATAACACTTTTACAATTTATAGAGCGCACATTTTATAGAGCTATTTAAAGTTGTCTATAGTAGCTTTTTATTAAAAATATTGGTACTAAACTTTTGGGCTTGTTGTTTTAAGGTTTATTTTAATTGTGTTATTGAAATATTCAGTTTACAATTAAAAATATAACTTACATTATTTTTAGCGTCCAAAAAAATTTTTATAAGCATTTTTTATATAATTAGGTTATACTTTTTTTGTTTCTACTCTTAAAAACGTGTATTATTGAAAAACATCCTTATTTCATACAAGCATGCACATTTTCGATTCCCTAATTTTGAAGCTAGTTTAATCAAAAAGGTTGATTTTTAACTTGTGATATAGAAGTTTATAATTATCATGTTTCTGGAAATATTTAACAAAATAATAAAAAAAGTAAATCAAAAAAAGGTCCTCGTTATATCTTTAATATTTATATCCTAACGTTTTATATTATATCTATCTTTATATTGTATATCATTGTTACTTCAAATTATATATTATGCAATTTATTATTATATAATATCGGGTCTCCTCTCTCTGAAAAAAATGAAAAAGGCTGTTTTTAAAGAACATGTTGGTAAAACTGGAAAATGTATTTTCCAATTTTTCCAGCATGTTTTCCAAAACACAATTCTTTCTAGTTATTCCAGTTTTTCGAGCGAGTGAATACTCAGTAATATCATAAATTAAATTCTAATTTATATTTACATTAATACCACTGTTAAAAGTAAAGAAGTTGATAAAATAAAGTGCACGATTTCTGAGCCGTATGTTAACTACACATGCATCATTCGTGCATTATAACAATTCGTGCATAACTTTTAATTATTAAACTTTTTTTAATTATTAAACTTTTTAATTTTAAGCTTTAATTGATAAAAAGGTTCTAAAAATTTTTTTAATTAAATGTTAAAAGGGTTTTTTTTTTAATAAAAAGCTCTTTAAAAAAGTGGTAGTACCTCCAAATTTAAAACGGATAATAAACAACAATAAAAATCTTGAGGCAATTTTTGTGCTTTTGTGCTTTTGTCGGCATTTACAAATAATTAGAAGATTACAATATATATTAGCATGCAACTCAAGTCTCATCAAAGGTAGATTATACAATAAAAGAAGATTTAGGGGCAAACAATATACGTAACAATTTAGTTTTTTTTTAAAAATGTTTGCAAAAAAAAAATCCTAATTTTAAAGTCAATATAGTTTTTTTTAAATTAAATTTTTATCCGCTGAGTCATTTAACATATTGACTAAAATTAACGAGAAATGAAATAAATATATTGACTAAAAAAATAAATTAAATGACTAAATGAAATAAATTGATTAACAAATAAAATTATCTAAATGGAATATCAAATATGATATACCATATAGTCATTACCATTATTTAGTTATTATATATTGACAAAAAATGACTAATAGAAAAACTTTAGGAGACGGCATATAAAATGATTTTAATTACCAATGTTTATTTTGACAACTTTTTCTCATTTAACTTAGGTTTCTATTTTAGTAGAAAAAACAATATTTTGAGGTAACACAACCATTAACTTAAATTTTTCAAAAAGTGGAGATGAAAGAACTATTTTTAACCACACGGTACAACTTATTTCGTAACACAACTGGTATTTTTAAAAATGGTTCATCAAAAAATCCTGTGTAGATGCCAAACATCAAGGAACAAGACAAACATATCAGTTTCAAAACATTTTTAACTTATGAAACCAAACATAATTTTTTGTAAAATTTTATAAAAAACTGTAAACATTTATAATTTAAACTCTTTTTTGATTTTAGTTGTTTTGTTTCAAATGAACTTTAAGGACCGGTTCACAAATCAAAAAAATACATTTTAGCAACTAATAATACATGTATGCTGCATTACTAAATAGCTTCATGTTCTGGTCATTTTATTTATAAAAGCACTTAGAATCAGAATTTAATAAAGAGGAATCTCAAATGAAAGGCCTCTGAAAAACTTTTTTAACTTTTGATTAGAGAGCATGTTTATGCAAACTCTAATATGTATTTTTTTCTGCAGTCCAAGCTATCTATAAAAGTATTAGATGTATCTAGATGTATTAAAAAAAATAAGGATTGATATAGTTGAGAAATATCTTTGAGGTACAAATTTTGTAGTCTAAAAATCCCTCCCATTTTATTAGATTTTTAATTTAAATGATCGCTACTACTGATAGGCTTTTTAGAATAAAAAGTGATAACTGACTATATCTTGAGAATGTTGTTTTATTGAGTTCAAATACGTTTAAATTATAACTTAATACGCTTGTTAAAAAAGAAGATTAACTATCCATTAACAGTTAGAAATTAACATATTTTAACAAAATTCTTTGTGACGTTAAATTTCCCTTGTCATTTTAATTTCTCTTGGCATCATCATTCTCTGTTTTGATGAGATTAAAATTATGCGTGGGGTGACGTTTTTATTTGTAAGGTATAGGAGTAGTTTCAAATTTTAATATTTAACAAATAAATTCTCACATATTCCTGAAGTTATTCGAAGTATAAAACAAGTTGTATGTGCACATTTTAAGATACAGTAAAAAAAGTTGTTGCGTAATATTGTTAAGCTTTGTCATACTAGATTTTTATCCAGCAATTTTTTCAATCAGGTATGTTTTCGAAACCAGATGACCAAATTATAAAAAAACGTAAGTGTTCTTATTATTATTATGTCTTTTTTATTTTTATAAATAAAAATTTTTGTTATTCACCTGAATTCTTTACGTAGCAATGGCAAAGAATTCAGTCGAAGAAGTGAAAATAGCAGAAAATTGAAACTAGCATCAAAAAATTGAAACTTAAATAACTAGCATAGGGTTTGGAGTGCAAAGTCAGCATCCTAATGATATTTCCTCAATTTATTTACTTGACATCAAAGCTTTGTATGAACCTGTTTAAATGTGTATAATTGTCTGTGCATACTTATAGATGTGTATATATTTAAACGTACACATAAGGTATATACTTGCTCAACACATAGAATTGAGTTCATACATAAAGAGAAATTATATATGTACACATACAAGCGCAATTAATATCAAACCTTCTTTACAGCCTGCAAAGTTGGTCAAGTTGGCAAACGCAAGTTTAATTAAAAAAAGTTTTTGAAAGTTGATTACCAAAAAAAAAAATGTTAAACTAGATTTCAAAAAGTTTTAAAAACTCAATCTCTATTTGCAATATGTTTGTATAAGCGCCCATTGCGCATACATCAATAAAACTTTCTGTTCTAAAGCTATTTATTTCTGAGTATTATTTGTGCAAGTTTTTAGTCTGGGTGTTGAACTACTGACTTATCACAATAATTTTGACTCTTTACCATCTTCATTTATTACAACCTATTTTTAATTATACCTAGCTCCAAGATGTTTGGTTCATTTATGGGAGTTTTTACTTGAAATGTTAATGGATGATTCGTTTACATCGATAATCGAATGGACAGACGAAATAAATGGCGAATTCAAGATAAAAAACTGTGAAGTTGTTGCAAAGAAATGGGGCAAACGAAAACAGAAATATAACATGAACTATGACAAATTAAGCAGATCGTTGCGATATTATTATAAAAAAGATATCATTCAAAAGGTATTTTTATTTGACTTTTTTATCAAATATTTTAAACAATCTTTTGCGTCTAATTAAATATTTTAAAATTGATGTCGCATATAAGATGATAAATAATATTTTTTTTGTAAAAGAAACTATAATATAAACGCTTAGTCTACTTTTTATCAACAAATCAAAATTTAAACGTTTTGTTTTTAATGTATACCGTTTTCTCTATATTTTAAAAAAGGTTTTTGAAAGCTTTTAAGTAGTTGCCTATCAGCTGCGTAAGGCTAACCAACCGTCTAGCGAAATAAAGTCGGATTACAAACTTTCAATTTTTTCTAAAGAACCGTTTAAAAGACATCTTTAATATTCTTTTGTTTTAAATAAGTTACGCAATGACACCCATAAAGAATTTTTAATTACTGCGATTCGATTTACAAAGATAAGATAATATAATCTAATTTACATTGTCTAAAAAGCAATGTAGTGCAATTTTAATAGTCTGAAAATAGTCTGAAGTTAGATGTATATGTAAGTAGTAATGTTTTAAAGAAAATAAATTATAGTAGGTGGGGGGGGGGGGGGGAGCAAAATTAACTTTTATTAAATTTTAAGTAGTTTAACTACTTTTTATTAATTACTTTTTGATGCTGATTTTGAATTATTTAATACTTTTTTTTATTATAAATATTTGGCCTTCTACTTCAATTTTAATAAAAGTGATTATTTTGACAAAAAAATCGATTGTTAAATGAAATGAAATCATTATTATCATCAAAGTAGAAGGTAAATAGTTTTCTTTTCGTTTTTTTAATAAAATACGTAATCATTATGTGTTGTTATAAATACAGTAAAAAATTTGGCATTATACATGAAATAACTCCATATAAGAAACAATTTGTGACAATTATTAGTGAAAATGCAAAATAACTTTGCAACTATGATACAGGAATTTGAATTCTTTCTCAGAATCAAAAGGTCTGAGGTTTGATGTCGGCTCTGACCAGATAATTGTAAGAAAAGAAGTGTAAACCTTCTAATTAAATTGCTGTTCCATAGTCCTGTTCCATAGTGCTGTTCCATAGTGCTTCGCGATAAGACACTTAGTTCTTCTTGGAGCAGCTTAACAAATAAATAAAAAAGCCATCGTAGGTGATAGTAGATTGTTGCGCGCAGTGGCGTCGGAAGGTCACGAAAGTTGGGGTGGGGCTGAAAACATATATTAAAAAGGTGAAAGTTCCTCAATTTTGTATGATACAGTAAAACAGATAAAAATGATCTATTTATTCAATTATTTATCACACGCAACGTGATTAATCATCTTTTTAACGTGATTAGTCATCTTTTGCCAGCACACGTTCTTTTAAAAAAAAGTTAGTATGCGATAGTATCTTAAACAGTTTTACGGATATACTTTTCCATGGTGATGTTTAACTGTAATTGAGTCATTGCAGAATGGAAAATGATAATTTCGCTGTTGCTATCATAAAAGTTTTTTTAAAACTGTTTAGGAAATGGGTGGCTAAATGCAGTGTCCGCCCCCCTCCCTTAGTGTTTTATAGGGGAGTTATCGCCCCCACCGCCCTCCCAGTTCCTATGCCAGTGGTTGTGAGGACTTTCCAACAAAGTAGAAGCTTTAAATTATTAGCTTATTCTTCTAGTGACATAAAACGACGTTTTTTTGTATTTTTATTAACTCTTAAGATTTTAAATAAAGATTATTACTAAAAACAATTCATTTATCAATCATTTTTGATATTTAACAGAACTTTCTCTTTTTCAATATATTTATTTACACCTACAGTAAACAGGCAGCCTTGTAGTTTTAGACGAGCTAAGATATAATATCTCTTGGGCGCCTTAATGTAAAGCTTACAGTTCTATTTTTGCTAATCCGTTTTGTCCAGGTTGCTTCTGTCACTGATTCCAACTGTATTTTATATTTTTTAACAATGAAACACCTTTCCGGAAATATTTCTAAATTACTTAAGTCTTGATTTCACAGTGACTTGGATATTTAAGCATATTATCACGAGGAATTTTCGTAATCGACGGCATTTCCGAAGACGATTGCCATGAATGTCATTCTGACGCTTAAGTTCAATGTTATTTGTAATTGTTTTATAAATTGAAAAAACCTGATTAAAAATGTAACACACCACTTATTCCATATTTTTACATAATACTTTTTTATTTTCTGAAAAAGAAGTAAAGCTAAATTTTGCTTTATCTATTAGCTGATGTTACAATCATTTGAGTTTTTAATGCGTTTATTCGAACTGCATCCGCAACTTCCGGTATGAAGTGAAAGGGTTTCTTCGCTCCCAGCCTCAGATCATCACAATTTCTTGCAGGTCCTCATTATTTGACTAAGTATAATGATACAAATGTTTGGGGTTTTCTCCGTGTCTATAAGTTAGCTATTTTAAACACCAAAAATTGCTGGATCCGTCATCCTTGACCCGTCATTAACAATCATAAACTCGTCACTGCTTCTTTTCTTTAATATTAATAAAAAGAAAAAATTTTATTTTCATTTATGTTAAAGAAATAATTTTTTTTTCTCAATTAAAATCATTACTTTACTCATTGTGTGATGACCCTTTTTATTTATGATTAAACTAAGGGGGAAATTTAATCATAAAATAAACGATTTGATTTTAGAAAATTGGATATATCTCATTAGGCAAGCATTAAAAAAATAAAAAAAAAACTTATCATATTTTATATTGTGCTTCTAATATGACTAGTTGACTTTCGATATTAAAAAAAAGAATATTAATTACCAACTGACAAGCGTGTTACACCTAAGTCCGTCATTTCTGATACAAGTGGCTTTTATCCATAAAAAAATAATGTAAATCTCTTTCTAAAATAATGTAAATCTCTTTCTAATTTTTATTTATTTCAGTTTTGAAAATCTATGAGAGTTAATTATTTTCAAAAATTGATTAGAACAATGGCTTCGAAATTTTTCGAATGTTTTACAATTGAAGTTAAACAGGCTATGTGTTTTTAATGTCCTTAGGTTTTGGGGAATTGTTTGATCTCCTGCATCTTATCAAACTTATTTTATTTTATAATTACGTTCATGTTAAATCTTATTTTTGTTTTCCTTTTTAACTTTGATATTATTAGTATTTTTTTTTAGTGCTAAAACACTGGTGGTAGTAAGCGTACTTCATTATTTAAATAAAATGTTTTTATTAAAAAATAACATTTTATAATTTTAAATTATGCTTATAAACATTTGTTTTGCATTGAATTGTTCTCCTAATACGTACATTACTGAAGAAAACCTGCTGTACACAAGTAGGTGCGTGGTTTCAGCGGCGGGTCCAATATTACGCATATAATCTGAAAAAGCGCGTACATGGTATATAGTAACTGTAAATGATAATAGTATTGGATAGACCGTAAGTGATTTCATTTCTCTTTCCATTTTTCTGCTAATATCGCTATATTGATTAAAAGTTCACCAAAACTTGTAACCAATATTAATGCTTTAACAGTTTTTTGGTAAAACGTTTGAAATGATAATGATTTGAATATGCACAACAAATAAAACATGGTTAGGGGAATGTTAATTGCAGCAACAAAACTTGGTTAGGGGAATGCAAAAAATAAATCATTTATAATTCTCCTATTTATTGAAAATATACAGTGCTATATTTGAAATTGGCAATAATTCAGTTAAAGCATGAAACTGTTTCGCTAATTGTAAACGTTGCTTATTATTGTTCATACTCACTTAAAATTAAATTTATCAAGTATTTAAATGCTAAAAAAATTAGGTTTTTGCACAAACAATGTTAAAAAAAGTTGTACAACTGAAACCTTGTTAGCTAGCTCTGCTTTCAGGTTAGTACCTGGTGGGAAATGAGCTAGCGACTGGCTAGTGACTAGCTAGCTCTATAGCGATTTTGAAGCGATTTTTTTTTCTTATTTTTTTTTGTGCAAATGTCTTTAACATCTTTAAAAATTCGATTTTTAGTGGTGAGTCTAATATAATTTTGAAAATAATTAAACTTTAAACATTGTGATTTTGTAGCAATGTGTCGCTAGCTACATATCGTAGCTTTGTAGCTAGCTACAAAATATCTACAAATCTATAGCTGGTTGATAGCTACATATCAAAATTTTTTAGACAACGATTTTATTACGATATGACGCTAGGTACAATAGCCAGTGGATCTTCAGCTTATTAAGCTAGCTGTCCTCGTAGCCAAATCGCTCTCTTTATCTTTAAAAATATCGATAGCTTTTCGCTAACTTAAAAAAGCTAGCGATCCTCGTGGCCAAATCGCTGTCTTTATTGTAACGATTATAGCTAGCTATTCGCTAGCCGATTTCCCAGCGGGTACAGTGCATCAATCAATCAAAATATTTGCATGTGTGTTTGATGTATTTTTTACATAAACATTAGTTAATATTAATTAATCCCAGTGGGCACAGTCGTAAAAAAGACGTCTTTTAAAACGTCTTTTACATGTTTTGGACGTCTTTTAAACGTTCAAAAGACGTCTTTTTTAGGTTTGGTGCCCACTGGGATCGTTGCTAGACGTTAATAAAAATTTCTAAGTTTTGCAGAATGTTTGAGTGTGATACGATATAAGTTCATTTTTTTAAAATTTATTTTTATCTTCTGATTTTTTTGCATTTAAAGATAAAATATACAAAAAGGTGATACAGGTAATATCGAAATGACTCTTATGTAACGACGAGTTAAAATAGTGTGCAGCGGTGACGAACATTGTACTTTTTTAAATTTGATTTTAACAAAGAAAATGTGGACGAGTAAACAATATAATCAGGTAGAGAGTTCCATATCTTGATAATTCTTTCACAGTAGAAAAATCTTCGTGTATCATTTTTACATTAAATACGTGAATAAAATTTTTGCGCATGACATCTTGTATGATAGTAAGAAAGTGTAAATATAAAAACTCAGAAAAAAAAAGATCGACAAGGTTGTGTATAATTTTATAGGTCATTACAAGATCAAATTTTATTCTACGGCATTCAAGAGATTTTAGATAGAAGATATTGAGTCTTGAAGAATAATCTTTATAAGGAATATGACATCTTTTACAGACACTTCAAGTAAATGATTTCTGAAATTTTTCTAACCGGCGTGTATTTTTTAAAAGATGGGGATTCCACACAGAGGTAAAAGATTCTATGATGGGTCAAACATAAACTTTACAGGCTTTGATCAGAAGCTTGAAATCGTTACTGATGAAGAATTTTAAAAGTAAGTAGGGACGAGAATGTTCCTTACTTGCAATGAAAGAACAGAGATTAAAAAATTTCAAATCTGAAGATAGGAATATACCGATATCTTAAATTGAATTAATAGATTCAATAGGTGTACCAATGTTCATTGAGTATGAATTTAATGGTAAAGCACTGTTTCCCTAGCGTTAATAAAAACATTTTTAAGCTGTTATATTAAACTTTTTTAAAGTATTGATGATTTGTATCTTGTTTCCATCATTGCTTGCTTGATATAACTTGGTATCATCAGCAAAGAACACATTTAAGGCAAACTAAGCGAATGGGTGAAGGGAAGACCCCTCCTTAATAAATATACAATAACTACGTTTTTCACGGTTTTACACATGGTTTTTAAACCAACTTAGGATTTTTGTTTTCTGCCATTTTTTTATTCATTTTTCCATTTGCTAATTTGAAGAATGCATATCATCTTCAATAATTATTATTCACAAATTTCTTTTTGAAAAAAAGCTTTATTTTTTAAATATTAAATGAGACATATGACACTATTTAACAAATTATAATGTGTTCTCTAACAATATATATCTCCACTTTTGTTAAGAATTTTTTTAAATTATTAGTCTACCCTTCTTAGCCACGCATGGTCGGATGATAAACAACTGTTGAATTTTATTTAACTATGAAACTGTTTTTCTGAATACTATTTTTTTTTCTTTTTTTTATTTTATTCCTAAAATAATTTTTTTATATTACAAAAATATTATTAATTATAATTTACAAATATATCTAACTTTAAGAATGGGAAGACTTGAAGAAAATCAATTAATTAATTAAGACTAAATACCACTTTGCAAAGAATAGATTCGAAATCGCTTTACAACAATTTATTGTACTTTATACGTTCGCAGAACCAAATATTTGTTGTAAAGATAATTTGCAACATCTTTAGAATATGGTGAGTCACGCACACGTAGATATGGCCACAAGAAAACATTGAAATAAAACAAGTAATTCACGCAAATACCTATATCTAAAACATAAAATTTATAATTATAAAGTAAGTGCAAAATAAAATACTGTAAAACATCTAAACATCCAAAACTATAGCACTAATATTAAGAATTTTAAATTAATAGAGATACAATGCTCTTTTGAAAATAACATTTAAAATATTTTCAAAAAACAAAAAAAACATTACCAAATAAGATTAAGCTAATTTCGACGCTCGAAATCAAAATGAATCAAATCAAAATTTAAAATAGCACTCTACCAGAATAATTTAAAGCGATGAACACAATCCATAATAACTGTACACAATTCTTGTTAATTTTTTAGTTTCTGCAGTAATTCAATTAAAAAAGATATTTTTAATATCTATTTTAGTTGAATATAATAATTTTAATAGAATATATATAATTTTACAATTCATTATTTTTATGCTTGGAAAGTCAATATTAAATTAATTTGTTTTAATTTAATAGTATATTTTTTTATTTCTTATTAGATTAGTGGACGTAGATTTGTTTATAAATTTATTCAAAATTCTGAAATGAGAAGAGCGGTTGACACAATCAAAACGAGTATGATGCGTCAAGGTCAAAGGAATGTATCTGTGGGTCCATTCCAAAATTATCAACTATTAACAAAAAAACCAACTATATTCAAACAAAATAGTTCCAATGTCAATGACGATAACTTCTACCAGTCTTCTCCATCATCCCAACAGTCATCTGAATCCTATCAGTCATCTTCACCTTCTCCGCCGTTCAATGAACCAGAGGTGTTTTTCAACCCTGAAAAAGAGCTGAATATTTTTGAAACACCCAGTTTATTGTTTAGCAACAATAACATCAAAAATAATTATCATGAAGAGAAAAGTAACTTTTTCAGTCCGAGTATTGCTTCAGATATAGAACATACTTTGCATGCACCTTTATTTGACAATGAGAAACAACTTTTAGATTACAAGAACAACTCAACTATTAATGATAGTTCAAGCAACAAAGCTTTTTGTCTAGTAAATAAATCAAACAATTCTAACTTAAATAAAAGGGGTGTTTTATCAGAACAGTTTAGATTTCAGGACGAGATTATGAATGACTATAACAAAACGCGTCAAAAAAATGCTTCAAAAAGTAAAACATCTTATGATACAAACTCTTTGAAAGACAGTTTTTATAAAGAAAACAAAAATAATTATTCTTGTTTTTCACTAGAACATTCTGTTCAAGCAAATCAACATTTTCAATACGATAGACAAAAAACTCCATTTTTTGAAAAATATGATAGTAAAAAAAAACTAAAACCTATTGAAATTGCAAATGAATTAAAATTAAACACACGCACAAAAATTTATGTACCTCAATCAGTTAGCTCTTCAATTGTTAAACCTACAGTAATTAGATTTAGCGAGGTTTTAGATTCGCTAAATGACGCTCAAATTGAATTAGACCAAAAAAATATATATAATTCTACTGAAATAACTAAAAGCGATGAACACTTTTTTACTTACCCTGTGATAAATCGTTTGTTGCAATCAAAAAATGTAAACGGTCAATCTAGTGCATCACCTCGCGTTTCGCCTGACATTTCTGCTTACCAACTTCCTCCTGGGTATGTTCTTTGCAAATACGTTCCTCTGATTGACGCCTCTACTCAAACAACACATGTATCTGAACAGTACACAACTTCGGTTATTACATCTAGAAAATAATTAGACAAACCGATTTATATTAGTTTTAAAAACTAACCGCATTAAGTAACTATATTTTAGATGTCGTTATGTCGTAAAGTAAAGTTTATACTCTACGTAATAATTAAGGTAATGAAAAAAACTTTAAAAATCAGATGTATTAAAATCCATGAGTAAGAATGCTTGTTTTGATTCATTTTAAAACTGCTCTATACTAGTTTAATGTGTATTTATAATCTTGGGAAAAATTTTCCACAAGTAAGGTCCACGATAAAAAACTGAATATGAGAGTAGTTTTGAATAATATTTTGGGAAAACAAAGTTGTTATTTGAAAATTTTGTGGGATATTTATGAACTATTTTGTCAAAATAGGATTGAAATATTTTGGCGATAATCCTATATTTTTTTTATACATGAACATTGATTTAAATATACATAAAACTTAGTGTAAGTTGATTTTATATATATTTAATGCTCCAAGTATACGCAGAAGAGGCTCACAAGGTCAGTTCTATCAGCTCCAAAAATTATTCTGCACGCGTGTTTTTGTTTACAGAACAATTTTTTTAACTTTTTATGGTTTGTATTTGCCCATGCATAATTGCAATAAATTAAATAATAATGAGTTAAAGAAAAACATTAACTTTTTAAAGAGTTATTGATTAAAAATGGTTTAGTCTTATATACCATTGCTAAATTTTTTGATATTTTATTTTCAATACTTTTTAAATGTAAATTCCAACGTAAATTTTTATGAAAGATTACGTCAAGAAGGTTTTCTGAGTTTTTTCTTTTACTAATAATGTTATTGATTATTAGATTAGGCAATTTGATGGGAATATTTTTTGATTTATTTAATTTGTGAAACAAAATAAACTTGGTTTTATCCACATTGTTGTTTCAAAAAGTGTATTAATACCTTTATCGGAATAAAAAAGATTGGAGTCATCTGCAAAAAGAATACAATTTAATAGGTCCATTGCTAAATTTAAATCATTAATGTACACTTTGAACAACAGGGTCATAAAACAGAGACCTGCAACCTATTTTAAAACTAATGAGCGCAATTAGTTTTAAATTAGGTTCATCCATAACTTTATCGTAATTTTTTAAATAAGATTCAAATGGTGTTGAATTCATAGGAATTTTTAATGCCAAATTCGAACCAGCATTAATAAAGAAGCTGTTTAGTTTTTTTAGCAATAAATGATTTATCATAAATTGTGTTTTTATCAACTTTTATTTTTTTTTGGCAGAATGTTCCTCGGATAATTATTTTTTCCGATTATTTCTTTTTAAAGAAATAATCGGAAAAAATAAATTTAAAACTATATTTGAAAAAATATTTCAAAGTATATTTGAAAAAATAATAATGAACTCAAAAAAGCTTTATTATGCCAAACTATTAAGTAAAGTCACTGGAAACACAAAAAAAATATGGAGTTTAATTTTAATTACACTCCATGTTTTTTTTAGTGTATGACAAATAATTTTAAAAATATGTTTAAATTCATCCAAAAAAAAAAATTTAAACTTCGAATATTAATGTTTAAAATTGAAAAACTATTTTTATTTTTGAAGATATTGAGAAGATTCAATAACTGTGTAGTATTGGATTTCAGATATTTTATGATTAAATTTATTAGATTCATCGATGTAACTTAGTGCGACATTTTCAACTGAGAACTTAATTATAAAGTTTTCCTCCATTTTAAAGTAAAGCATATATAAATAAATGCAAAGTAGTTAATAAAATAGTTAGTAATAGTTTAAAAAAGAAAACTAATAAATCCTAACCCTTACTACCTTGACACGGATTCGGAATTTCTTCTGTTTTCTGACACCCACTTGGCACAATCAGCTTATTATATGATACATATGCAAATTTACCCAGCTGCCGCTCAATTTTCATTTTTTCTCTATGATCTTTTCTTATTAAGTTCGTTTCGAAGCAAAATTCTTCGTTTATGCAGATATTTTTAACCTTTAATTTAGAAGAATTTTTTAGAATTTCTACCTTATTTTTGTAGTCTTGCGTGGTGTTTTTGCATCTCGGCGTCCACTGCGATGCGCTCGTTCAATTCTCACATTTTCCACCCCTGGAGTCCCTCCTCAAAAAAAATAATCACATTTATTTCTTTTTTAGACCACGTTTCATTTTCATTTTCTTTGATGCCATCAATCCTACACAGCAAAATCAAAAATTCTTGTTTTAAGCAAAAAAAGTCTTAAAACAAGAAAAAAATGACTTGTCCGCCACGTAAGAATATTTTTTCTTGTTTCAAGAATTTTTATTCTTAAAACAAGATTTTTTTTTTCTTGTTTCAAGTATTTTTATTATTAAAACAAGATTTTTTTTTCTTCTTTCAAGAATTTTTGTTCTTAAAACAAGAATTTTTTTCTTGCTTTAAGAATTTTTATTCTTAAAACAAGAAATTTTTTCTTGTTTCAAGAATTTTTATTCTTAAAATAAGAATTTTTTTTCTTGTTTTAAGAATTTTTTTTCTTAATTGTTTTGTTTTCTTGTTCAACAATTTTTATTCTTAAAACAAGAATTTTTTTCTTGTTTCAAGAATTTTTATACTTAAAACAAGAATTTTTATTCTTAATATAAGAATTTTTTTTCTTGCTTTGAGAATTTTTATTCTTAAAACAAAAACTTTTTTTCTTGTTTCAAGAATTTATATTCTTAAAATAAGATTCTTTTTTCTTATTTCAAGAACTTATATTCTTAAAACTATGTATTTTAAAAAAAAAAAATCATTTTTTACTTGTTTTAATGTTATTTTATTTAAAATAAGATTCTATTTTTTTGTTTCAATAATATTTCTCCTAAACTATAAAACAATATTACAAAAGTACTTTTTCTATGGAAAAAATGAAACATTATTTTGAAATTAGGATGTTATATAATAAGAATATTCAAAAAGCATTTATACATTTAAACAACAAATCTAATCGTTGAAATAACAACTTGTTCTTTGGAATGTTTTATTATTGTTCATGCTTGTAGCGGCAGTACACATAATAATCACTGTGTCTCTATCGTCTGTTACGTACAGATAAGGATTTTTTAAATCTGAAAATAAATTTTACTAACTCAAAATTTATATATATATATATATATATATATATATATATATATATATATATATATATATATATATATATATATATATATATATATATATATATATATATATATATATATATATATATATATATATATGTATATATATATATATATATATATATATATATATATATATATATATATATATATATATATATATATATATATATATATATATATATATATATATATATATATATATATATATATATATATATATATATATATATATATTAGGGCTGTACCGGATTTCGGCTCCAGCTCCTGCTCCGGCCAAAATTCGGCCATTTTTACAAATCCGGCCCAAATCCGGCTCCGGCAAAAATTTAGCAAATCCGGCATAATTTTAGCCGGAGTTCTGAATTTTGTCAAATATTTATTACATTTTTTTTGCCCGTGTTTACATGTATACCTAATATTTTATTTATAAAAATCAATTTTTTTTGTAATTCTATATTTTATGAATTTTATCCTCATATTTGTTTTGGTATTTGTATTTATATTTCTTTATAATTTAATAAGCTTAGTTTAATTTCAAACAACAACGCAACAAAAAATTCTGAAGGGAAGACACACGATATTCTACAATGATGCAGGTATAAAGACTATGATGTCAACCCTAATCAAGTGATTGGATGAGCGTTTTAAAAGCATTGCAAAGAGAAACCTCTTTATATACTGACGAGGCTGGTTGACTTACAATTTAAAACTAAATTCTCCTCATTATAGGCAACACTGACAGCTGAAAAAACAAGATTGAAGTCAATCTGCGCATGCTGAACAGAAGATTGACAAAACTTAAGAAAATCCACCAAAATAAGCCGGGCCTAATAATTTTTCTACATCATCATCATCATTAATCTGGCAATTTATTGATAAAATTATTCAGTCTACGTCCGCTGGTGGCAGGGCACATAAACAACAATTACTAAAAGACATTGAAACTCAGCTAAGAACCAGAAATAAATAGACACAATAATCCACTACAGTGGCGGAGTGACAAAATCCCGGGAAAAAAGTTCAATAGAATTACTATAAACTTTTAAAACATATGGCCTATAGAATTTCTTTAGAATTTCTATTAATTTATATATAGAAATTGCTATAAAACTTTTTAAATAACAACAATGAAGTTTAACAGAAAACAGCAGTCACTTGGTATTCTGAATAGTCCACATTGTTGACCATGCTCAACACCAAGTAGGGATGTACAGGATTTTGGCTCCTGTAGTTTTGTTTTGAAATCCGGCTCCGGCTTCGATTCCGGCCGGATCTGTCAGTAGAAATCCGGCAAATCCGGCTCCGGCCGGATTTGAAAAAATTAAATCCGGTACAGCCCTAATATATATATATATATATATATATATATATATATATATATATATATATATATATATATATATATATATATATATATATATATATATATACACACCTTGTACAGAAAGTTTAAACGCACTTGTTTTTTTAACTTATATAATACTTTTAAGAAATGATAACCCGATTAATTAATGAGATATGCTCTGTATTTTTATGTTTATTTATACTATGGCTATAAGTTATTAGTTTAGATAGAAAAAAAATTGTATGGATATTATAACGGAGGTGGAGAGTGATGAGAAAAATAACGGAGCAAATAACTCCTTTTAATTTTTTGAAATAAAATTTAAACGCACTTTGATAAGAAAACGCGTAAAACTCGTTTATTGAGAGATTTTTTATTGAAGTATTTTGCATTTTTATCACTCAGCAGCCTGTAAACGTTAGTATATTTCATTTGGATACCTATTCTTATTTTATTTAGAATAAAAACCACAAATACGATTTGATGTAAAATATAGCAATTTTCAACCGATACAGCTTTGTCAAAATATCATATTTTAATGGGTAAAAAAGCTGTTTCGTCGAAAACAAAATGGCAAGTCATTGGAATGCATAAAATGAAAATAAGCAATAGAGAAATTGGCAGACGCCAAAATATTTCTGAATTCAGCGTTCGTACAAAAAGTTATTTATTAACTGGTAGTGTCAATAAACCTCGTACTGGGCGTCCGAAAAAACTGACAGC